CCTCCTCCTCCTCCTTCTCCTCCTCCCCCTCCTCCTCCTCCTCCTCCTCATCATCATCATCCCTCCTCTTCCTCATCCCTCCTCCTCCTCCTCCTCCCTCCTCCTCCTCCTCCTCCTCCTCCTCCTCCTCCTCCTCCTCCTCCTCCTCCGCCTCCTCCTCCTCCTCCTCCTTCTCCTTCTCTTCCTCCTCCATTCCCTTTCCATATACATAACCTCTCCCTGTCGCACCCCGAGGCCAGCTTTTAGGGCGGGTGGTTTTCAAAATGTGGCTCTCGCCTTCGCGCCGCGCATATTCGTTCATAAAATGTGCAAGAGCTTCACGGAGTGAGGATCGATCGGTTTCAAAATGTGGGTCTCGCCTTAGCGCCGCGCACAATGGTTCTAAAAAATGCAAGAGCTTCACGGAGTGAGGGCGGTTCCTTTTTTTAAATGTGGCTCTCGCATTAACGCCGCGCACATTCGTTCACAACATGTGCAAGAATTTCACGGCTTTCCGCGAGCAGCGTACCAGAAATTGTGTTTTGGAAGGATTCCGGATTTTGCGGGTGCAACAGTCATGTTGGTTCGCGGTGTTGAAATCCTAAGAATGGTGTTCTGGCACGATCCAGAATCGTCAAGACGCAACGGTCAGGTTGATCCGTGGCGTTGGAATCCCGAGAACCATGTTTTGGCATGCTTCCGGGTCTTCAAACGGTTGTCTCCCAACGAGGCAGATGCCTCAAAATGAAAATGAACCGTTGTAGGGGCCTGTGAAGAGGGAGCTTGGAGGGAGGGTGTATTCCGACATCGTTGATGGCTCTATGGTCTATACTGGTCCTCCTCCTCCTCCATCTTCTCCTCCTCCTCCTCCTCCTCCTCCTCCTCCTCCTCATCATCATCATCATCATCATCATCATCATCATCATAATCCAACTCCCTCCTCCTCCTCCTCCTCCTCCTGCTCCTCCTCCTTCTCCACCACCACCACCACCACCACCTCCTCCTCCTCCTCCTCCTCCTCCTCCTCCTCCTCCTCCTCCCCCTCCTCCTCCTCCTCCTCCTCCTCCCCTCCGCGAAACCCTCCCCCTGCGAGCGGCCCGTGGCCGAAGCCGCGGCCGAGCGCAGCGCGCCCTGGCCGCTCACGCGGCGACGGGCGCCGCGGCGTCGCGGCGGAGGCCTGCCGCGGGGGCGGGCGGCCGCGGGCCGAGGCTGCGGCGCTCCAGCTCCGCGGCCCAGCGCTGCGCCCTGCGCGGCTCCGCGCTTTGAAGGCACCTGGGCGGTAGGAACAGGAGGAGAGAAAAACAAAAATAAACGTACAGTCGGGGTCGATTGGAGAGGGCACTCGAGAGGACACGAGACCCTTCCGAGGGGCCCATTGTAAGAGGAATGTAGGAGGCATGGGTCGCGAATCACATAACATCAGGTCGGGCGTGTCCTCCTACGGGCGGACGTTGGACGCAGGGACCTCACGCCGCGGCTTGCGCGGGCCGCCAGCTCGGCGCGCTGGAATGGAGGCGAGGGCGCTCACGCGCGACACTACGCGGGCAGCTTGCGCGCGCATGCCGGCAAAGACGAACCCGTTCTTGCTGCGCCGCTCACCTGTTGATGACCCTGGTGAAGGTGAGGGCGCTCAGGTCGGCCGTCTTCAGCGCCGCCGACAGCCAGCGCTCGGCCCCGTCCAGGTTGCCAGCCTGCACGCACGCCTGGATGACCCATTCGTAGCAGAGCGCGCTGGGCGTCAGGCCAGCCTCGCCCATCTGTGCCAGCCAGTGCTCGGCCCTCTGGTCCCTCGAAGACTTCACGCACGCGTGAATGACGGTACTGTAGCTCACACAGTCTGGCTGCGCGCCCTCGGCCAGCATGCGCGGGAGCCAGGACTCGGCGCGGGCAGCGTCGCCGGCCTTGGCGCACGCGTTGATCACCGAGTTGTATGTGAGAACCCCTGGGCTGAGGCCTGCCTTCTCCATCTGCGCCAGCCACGCCTCGGCTCGGTCCGCATCGCCAACCCTGGCGCAGACGTTGATGATCGAGTTATAAGTGACGCTGTTGCCCTCGACTCCAGCCTTGCGCATGCGCTCCATCCACTGTTCTGCACGAGTGAGATCACTAGACTTGGCACACGCATGGATCACTGTCGAATACGTGACCACGTCCACTGGTACGCTGGCCTCGGTCATGAAGTTCAGCCACTTTTCCGCGCGATCGACGTCGCCTCGCTTGGCGCAAGCACTGATCAGGGCATTGTACATGGAGCCGCTGGCCTCCAGGCCTTTGGAGTGCATCCTCTGGATCAGGCCCTCCGCCCGCACACAGTCGCTCTGCTTGGCCACGGCGTGGATCAAGGTGCCGTAGAGCTTGGCACTCGGATGCAGGCCGACCTCCTCCATTGCCACGAGCCACTTCTGGGCCCGAATGACCTCGCCTGCGCGGGAGCAGGCGTCGATGCAGGTGCTGTAGCTCACCACGTCGGGCTCGACGCCCATCTGCAACATGAGACTCAGCCAGCGCTCCGCGCACAGCGGGTCCTTCGCGCGAGCACCTGTGGCAATAAGGGCGTTGTAGGTAAAGACGTCTGGCTTCACTCCTGAGTGCTTCATCTCTTGAAACCACCGTGCAGCCCCGTCGATGTCGGCGTTGTGCGTGCAGGCCTTGATGACCGTATTGAAGCTCACAGAGTCGGGGACCACGCCGCACTCCTTCATCTGCCGCAGGCACTCCGAAGCGCTGTCGACGTCGCCGTTGCGGGCAAAAACGTTGATCAACAGATTGAAGCAAACAGTGTTGGGCTGGACGTCGCGCTCGCGCATCTTCTTGAACCACGCGAGGGCACGCTGGCTGTCGCCGCAACGGTTGCAGGCGCCCAGCAGCATGTTGTAGCACACCACGTCGGCCTCGACGCCCTCGCGGAGCATGCGCGTGAGCCACCTCTCCGCGGCCTCGATGTCGCCAGCCTTGGCCAGCGAGTCCATCACCGAGGTGTATGTGTTCACCGTAGGCTGTACACCCTGGGCCACCATCCGGTCGATCCACCAGGACGCCCGCCCGCAGTCACCAGCCTTTGCGCAGGCGTGGATGACCGCGTTGTAGCAGATCACGTTGGGCGTGACGCCTTCCTTCTCCATCCGCGCGAGCCAGGACTCCGCCCGGCCCATGTCGCCCGACTTGGCACACGCGTGCACGAGGGAGCTGTAGCTGATGACGTTCGGCTCCGCCCCGGCCTGCGACATCACGCTGAGCCACTTCTCCGCCCGGTCGGCGTCGCCCGCGCGCGCGCAGGCATCGATCACCGCGTTGAAGCTCATCTGGTCGGGCTCCACGCCGAGCGAGGGCATCTTCGTGAGCCAATCCTCGGCATGCGCGAGGTCGCCGGCCTTGGCGCACGCGCTGATGGCGATGTTGACGCAGATGGTGTTGGGCTTGCCCAGCCCCGCGCCTATGAGCTTCGTGAGCCACCGCTCCGCGCCCGCCGCGTCGCCGGCCTCTCGGGGACCTACAAGGTACCCATACCGCTATTCTTAGGTCGGGCATGTCCTCCTGCAGGCGGATTCTGGAAGAAAAATAAGAAATAGGCTTTCAAAGCCATCTACGATAATTTCTGGAAACCTAAACAAGACCTCTGGCCAGTGCTTTGGCAACTGCCCCGCAAGACTCCGCGAGGGCACTGAAAATTCGCAGGCACGACGCAAGTTTCGCTAGCGGCACCCGAGCGAAAAGGTTTCCCCGAGGTCGTGGCACTGGACAACATTAATAGGTGCAGACATGAGCTCTACGGTGGAGACATTGGATAAGGAACCCTTAGAGAAGGAATCCAGGGTCTGGAAGCCAGCGGAACACCAACTGATGTTTGGCCATGGACATCGCCGTCACCCTCATCAGATAAGGAATCCTCCAGGGTCTGCAACCTCTTGTGCACATTCCTTCGCGCACACCCCAACCGTAATTACATGTCGCTGGTGTCCCTTGGCGAAGCAGAAAGGCGACCCCCACTGTAACGAAACTCCAGTGGGCCCTCCCGGAGCGCAGTGCAGTGACGACAGCTGCGCGTCTGCAAATACCCAGGACGGCAAGGTCTAGAGAGGCTCACCGTAGGCTGCGCAGGTGGCAGCACCCCGGGCGGGTGTCCTTCAAAGTCGTGCTCCAGCTGCAGCGATGGCCCCGACTGTAGAGGGGCACGCCCGACTTAACGCTATTCTTAGGTCGGGCGTGTCCCCCTACAAGCAGTTTTTCAACGAAAAATGAAAAACCCCCAAATGCTCAAAGATACACAACAATAGAAACGTCATCGCCCCCAGATTATTATTTTTACAAATTTTGAATCTTCCTCCTCTAGAGGGACAGGCCCGACCTGACGCCATTCCCCAGACAACTCCCCAGGCGCGTTCTGACCAGAACCTCGAGTGGCAAGGCCAGCCGTTGAGACGAGCGCACCCGAGGAGACCCCCGAGGAGGCGGGGGCGAGGCAGAGGCAGCGGCCCCCTGTGCCACTTCCCTTCTCTGGGCCTTCGCGTGGGCGTTGATCAGCGCGCCGTAGGTGACGACCGACAGCTGCTGCCCCGCGGCCCCAACCTCTGAAAAAGAAAAACACCACAAACACACATTTGTTGGCGCTCCGCGTGGATGTCTTGGATCTCTGCGCTGGACCCGTCCCCCCTCCCTGGCACGCGGAGCGTGCAAAGCGGCAGCGCCGGAGGCGCCACCGCGGGGGGGGGGGGGGCCCGCGCGGATCCAAGAAACCCGCGCGGAGCGCCAAAAGTTTCTGCTTATGGAGTTTGTCCTTTGCATTTTCTGAGGGTGGAGGGCTCAAGGTGAAATACATCTGGGCTTTTGCGCTTCGAAAATCAGCCCACCTTGTGATTCGCCTCTTGCTGATTCGAGCCTCGAGAAGCCACCGACACGGCAGTCCAGATTCCACCCTTTGCCCTCCACCCAGGAAGAACATGCTCGAGTTTTTCCTTCTTCGATGCCGCCCTGCGGCCCCAGCCTGCCGGGCGATCGCCTCCGCCTGCGCCAGATCCCCCGCCCTCACCGCCGCGTGCAGCCTGCCGCACGGGCCGCCCGCGAGCGCTCCCGCGGGCGCGCCCGCGGCGGCGCCCCCAGGCGGCGGGGGCGCGGGGCGCCCACGTGCCGCGGCCGCCGGGCCGCCGCCGCCGAGCGGCGTGGCGCGCGCGCGCCCGCTGCTCTGCTTGCCCCGCGCGGGCTTCTGCCCCGCCCCAGCCCCTGCGCGGGTGGCCACCTCTCGGAGGTCCGTCGTCCGTCGTCGTCGTCGTCGTCGTCGTCGTCGTCGTCGTCCGTCGTCGTCCGTCGTCGTCCGTCGTCGTCGTCGTCGTCGTCGTCGTCGTCGTCGTCGTCCGTCGTCGTCGTCGTCGTCGTCGTCGTCGTCGTCGTCGTCGTCGTCGTCGTCCGTCGTCCTCGTCGTCGTCGTCGTCGTCGTCGTCGTCGTCGTCGTCGTCGTCGTCGTCGTTGTCGTCGGCGCCAACTGTCTAAACTTTCAACTGGCACCGATCCTCGCCAGGCCGATCCTGGGTCAAGGAGTGTCAGGGACTGGTGCGTGTATCCTCCTCGTAAAGAGGCAGGAGGGCGTGTACACACTCCGATCCTCGGGGTGGGCCTGGCCAGGATCGGTGTAATCATAGGAGTATAGTTGGCGCCCTCCGAACCTCGAAGAGCGGGAGCAGCACGGCGACAGCCGCGGCCTCCCAGAGCCCCGCGGAGCCCCTCGCGAGGGCGGCGTCGCCGGAGGCGCCGGCGAAGGAGCCCGTGAAGGTCTGCAGCAAAAAGGTGTCGTCTTCGCCAGTGGCCTCGCTCCTGAGGGGGGAGAAGGCGGGGACCATGACCAAGACTGAACGCGGAAACGTCGTATCGATCTTGGTGCCCGCCCATCTTGGTCAGCGAAAATTCATCGATCATCCTCAACGGCCACCATTGGTCATGACCAAGATCGGCGACGACAACATCCCACGGGATCATGGTCATGGTCAGCGTGTTTCTTCCCTTGAGCTCCTTCGTTCGGCTGCACTTGTCGACGCCAGGAGGTCGACAACCGTGGCAACGGAGACGATGACCGCAAGAGGAATGAAGCTTCTGACGATTGGCTTACGTAGAACGTTGTTCAAATTGAACATGGTATTGACCGTGGAATGATTGTGAGTATTGAAACTGTTTGTTGACGTGAATGCATGGAAAATCGTGCTGGGCCTGCGCCGCGAGCGGCCTTGAGCCAAAAGCATCCAGGCCCACTCAGATTCAGAACCCGGGCACTCCTCCCTAGGTCCACCCCCAGGAGGAGAACAATCGTACACCCTAGACGTACGTCGGACATGTCACCCACACACGCGACTTGTCTACGAACAACAAAACATAAGCAAAACAAATCCACAACACAAAAAAATTGATTATATATATATATATATATACACATACATATACGTTTTCCCCAGACTATTCTCATTTTTTACTACTCCTCCTGTAGAGAGACCTGCCCGACTTAACCCTACACCGATCCCGTGCCCAGGACGGGCCAAGCCAGGACCGGTGCGGATGCATATCTGGCGTTCTCCAAACCCTGGCCGGTCTTTCCAAATGCGCCCCGGCATCGGCGACGGAAAAAAGGGGGCAAGATTAAGTCGGGCATGTCCCTCCACAGGAAGAGTACTCTCAAAAATGATCAAATCAGGGGACGTTGCTTAAAAACTATGTCTGCTTATGGTTGCGTGTCTGTTTGCCTATTGTTTTTTTCGCCAGAAATCCGCGTGTAGGGAGACGTGCCCGACCTAAGGGCAAGAGGGCCAAACCAGGGGAGCAGTTGAGTCACCCAACCTGGCGCATCGCGCCCCGCGATGCGCGGTCCCCTTCGCCGAGCCCTCAGACGCCATCGCGCCGCCCGCTCACAGCAGGGCAGCCGCTCTGGCCCAGGCCGCGGGGCGCGAAGGGCGATGACCTTCGAGCCCCCGCGGGTGACCGGAAGAAATCGGGAGGGGAGGGCCCGAGGGGCCAAAAACGAGCAGGGGGACCCCCGCGACGCGGACCTCCCGACCGCCATCCCCGCAGCCGCCGTCGTGGCCTCACCCGAACTTCGTTCAAACACCACTCATGAGAAGAAGAAGAAGAAGAAGAAGAAAAAAAAAAAAAAAAAAAAAAAAGAACGAACGAACGAACGAACGAACAAACGAACGAACAACAAAACGCAAGACACACAAACTCTCGGAGTTCCGCGCGGCCGTTTTGGTTCCACGCCGGCCACACCCCTGCCTGCCGCGCAGAGCGCGCCACCTTGGGGCCCAGAGCCGATCCGAGAGATCCGCGCGGCCCTTCGCAGGTGTGTGCTCTTGCCGACTTGTTTGATCTTCAGCCCCAATCAAGTGCTCCGAAGAAGGGGCCAGGAATTTGAGAGGGCGCGCCGCTGGATGCCCCCACGAGATGGAGAGAATCCGGGCCCCCCCCCTCCCCCCTTTCCCCGGTCCGTCGCTGGTGGACCGCCTCCCTGGCGTTTCCCGATCCTTCGTCGGCGAACACACCCCCTGCCCCCCCATTTGGATTCAAAATTCGGACACCCCCTCCCCCCCTTTACTCCGGAACCCTACCTCCGGACCCCTACCCCCTAACCCTAACCCCTCAACGCCCGAACCCTAACCTAAGCCCAAACCCCAAGCCCCAAACCTCAAACCTTAATCCAGTTCCTAACACGCATCACTGTTCCCTATTGATATACACCCCCTCCCCAAGGCGACCGGCAGCCAACCATGAATAATGAGGGTCCCATGAGGGCCCCCCCCCACTATCCCTGTCAAAGAACAATTCAAGGTACAATTTTGGGCAAAGTCTGGATTCATGTTCCTGAGGCCCGCGAGCATTTTGCATGTTTCAGTTGATTGGGACGGCGGGGGTGTCAGCATATTGCCTGCTGCGCGTATGGCTACCACCCCTGGCCAGGAACAATACAAAAATGCACCTCGCGGCAAACTCTGGATCATGCGCGGCCACCCTGCGATCAGTCAAGTGGTGGCGTATTGCCTGCTATGCGCAGGCCCATCAGACACAATGATGGGCGTTGGTTTTGGACATGGATGGTGGGGGGCAACATGTTCCCCGATGTGTGCTGTCACGTGCGCAGGCGCACCTGACACACTCTTCACGCGCCCCGAAAGTGGCGCACGTGGCGCGGCTGGAATATGTGGCACACCTGGCGCACGCGGAGGCACGTTGCGCATCTGGCGCACCACGCGTGCCTGGCACGCTCGGGCCCCAGGGGTGAGTCGCGCGCGTGGCGCGCCTGGCACGCGTGGCGCACCTCACCCCAGCGTCGCGCACTTGGGTTCGGTTTTGGTTCCCAGTAGCTGCCAATGCAAAGACGACCGCTGAACATGCTGAGACTCGGGAGTTACTTATGTGTTGGGAGGGTGGGTGGGAGTGAGCTAGACGGCTTACTATCTAGGAGGCTGTCTCGAAGCTAACCCTCACCCTGACCCCCACCCTAACCCTAAACCCTAACCCTAAACCCTGAAACCTAACCCGTAACCTGTTACCCCTAACTCCGAACCCCCGACCCATCTATAACCCTCACCTAGAATTCTTCATCCTATAATTACTAAACCCTATATATCTAAAAACCGACCCAGCCCCCGACCCGGGCATGTAAACCGGCACTACCCCAAATACTATGTCCTGATCATGCGTGCAGGATCTAGTGCGATTTACAATACAAACGTGCGGAGGCCGCCATACACCCTCACCATTCCTAGTAAAAAATAGCATTTGCTGATCATGCGTGCATAATCCTGTGAAGCTTTCCTTCCTACGTGCGCCGCTGGCGCAGGTTCTTGTGTTTGATTATTCTCCCACGTGCTCCCAGGGGCGTCCAGGCGTTCCAGGCGCTCCCAACCGCTCCCAGCGCTCCCAGGCGCGCCCATGCGCTCCCATTCGTTGTACTTACAACGAGGGGAGAGATGATCTTTATGGTAGGGTGGTGTGCGGGTGGGACTGGCAGCCACCGCAGGTGGGCCCCTAGGCAGGAGTGGATCAGCTGCGGCAGAGCTTGTAGACCCTAAACCTAACACCACTACCCTAACCCGAAGCCCCTGACTCCCTAACCCTCACCCTACCACCCTATCCAGAACCCAAATCACACGACCCTCAAACCTAACCCGAACCATAATCCTACCATCCGACCCCTAATCCCTATAAGCACCAAGCCCCCGAACCCGAATCCTAACCGCTTAACCCAAATCCGAGCCATCACCCGACCCCCCGAACCATAACTCCCTTACCCCTAACCCCTATCCTAACACCATAACACTAACCCTACCACCCTCATACCGAACCTAAATGACACTATCCCTAACACCCTAACCCTACCACCCCAACCCTACCCCCCGAACCCGAATCCGACCCCTATCACCCCGATCCTCGCCCCCTAGCACTCGCCCCCTAACCCCCTAACCCTAACCCAAACACCCTAACCCTAGTACCCCCAAACCCTAAGACCCTAAGCCTACACCCCCTTAGCCCGGACCCCAACCCTGACCCCGAACCAACCTACCACCCGAACCCTAACCCCCCAACCCCCTAGACCACCCTAACGCCCGAATACCAAGCGTGCCACCCTGACCCTGAACCCCCTGACACGATCCCTATCACCTCAACCTGAACTCTACCACCCAAACCCAAATCCCCTAACCCGAATCCTAACACTAGCCCTAACCTTAAACCCTACGCCTCTTACCCTAACAATGAGCCTCTGACCCTAACCCTAACCCAACCCCCTAACCCTTCCACCCCAACCCGAATCCCCTAAACCTAACCCTGACACCTCACCCTGGCCTTAGCCCTCAAACCTTACACCATTACCCTGAACACCCGAACCCTAAAAACGTACCACCCTAACCTTAACCCCCTTAATCCCCTAACCCTATCACACTAATTCGAACAGCCTAGCCCTAACGCCCTAACCGTACCACTCTCACCCCAGACCAACAACCAAAATCTGACATTTTACCCCCTAGCCCTAGCAACCTTTACCCACCAACCCTGACTTGAATCCCTAACACCAAACCCCTAACCCTAACCCTATTCCAAACCCTCAACTGACCCTTCTCCCCCCGAACCCTAACCCAAAAACTAGCCCTAACCCTAAACCCTAATCCTAACCCTAAGCTCGATGTCCATAGCATCTAATCCTTAACCCCTAACCTCTAACCTCTGACCCCTCACATCTGACCCCGAACCCCTCGCCATCACTCTAAACCCAACCCTACTATTCTACCCCGAAGCCCCTGACTCCATAACCCTAACCCTAACACCCTAACCCTGATTCCCAAACCTTTAGCTTAGACACAACCCGAACCCAATCCCTACCATCTTCATATGGGTTTCCCAATATTTCGGCTGGGTTTCTGCCGACCGTAGCTCGCCACATTCCTCTGGGGTTTCTCGCGACCGATGGGTTTCCCAAAATTCTGCGGGGACCAGACTGGGGAACCCATAGGTCGCCAGATTCCCTAAGGGTCTCTAGCGACCTATGGGTTTCCCATAGTTTGGCGGTGACAACTCTGGGAAACCCACAAGTCGCCAGATTCCCTAGGGGGTTCTGGCGAACTAAAGTTTTCCCGTAATTCTGCAGGGGCGATTGTGGGAAACCCAAAGGTCGCCAGATAGGTCGCCAGGTTCCCTTACGGGTTTCTGGGGCGACCTATGGTTTTCCTATGACTCGGCGGTGACAATTTTTGGAAACCCACAAGTCGCCACATTCCCTGTGGGAACCTGGCGACCTATAGGCTTCCCAATAAATACAGCGGGTGCAATTCCGGGAAAGTCGTCAGGTTCCCTCAGGGTTTCTGGCGACCTATGGGTTACCCATAATTCGGCAGAGACAATTCTGTGCAACCCATGGGTCGCCAGATTCCCAAGGGTTTTGTTTGCCACCTGTGAGTTTCCCATTATTCGGCTGGGACAAACCTGGGAAACCCATAGGTCGCCAGATTCCCGATGGGTTTCTGGCGACCGATAGGTTTACGAAGTCCATAGGTCGCCAGATTCCCTAGGGGTTTCTAGCGACCTATGGGTGACCCATACTATTCCAAAATACTAAGGGAAACCCATGGGTCGCCATATTCTCCAAGGGTTTCTGGCGACCTATGGGTTTCCGAGAATTCGGCGGGGACCATTCGGGGAAACCCACAAGTCGTCAGGATTACTGGGGGATTCTGGCGACCTATGGGTTTCCCATAATTCGGCGGGGACAACTGTGGGAAATCCATACGTCGCCAGAG